TAACAATACGAATCGAGAGCAGGCAAATATATGGAACCTGGAAAATACAAGAAAAGAGATTGGGGGTCTTAAGGATGAGTAAGCATGCCATGTCCATCAGGTGCAGCTCGCCGTGGACATCCGTGAATTTATCAAGTAAACAAAGATATCGATCAGTACTCAAGCTCAAAAGTTCAGTAAAACCATAGAAAATATTAACATTTAAAACATCAAAAGTGAAATAAAGTACCGCATAGAGAATTACGAACCGAAACCCTGCCGTATGTTGGTACATGGAAACATTCCATACAACATTAAAACCAATGGTTAAACATTACAAAGTGTCAACATTTGACATAACAATAAATTATTGTTATTGGCTTTATAAACAGTGACTTTTAATAACTTCATAATTTATTTTATGATCATCGTTCAATCTTGAAATGTACAGATGTCGCTTTAATCCCGTGATCATAATTACAAATGTACATAACCCATGATTTTTGTTAATTTGTCAGCATGCTTCTGAATAATAACATGTAGTTACTGAATAAGGAAATAGGTGCCAAGAAAGCCGGAATAAGACAACATTCCTGAATAAGGAGATTCCTAACCTGAATAAAATTACAAATAACGTGTATCATTTTATAATGCCAGACTTCTAATAAATTATACAAAAACTACAACATGTTTTATTCCCTATAACCAAGGAGTCAAACGAACCCCGTAACAAATTGGTGGCAGCAGCGGGGAAACAATTAGCTTTCATACACAAATGTCACTTGAAGGCGAAGACAAAAAAAAAACAAAATTGGGGAACCATTGCGAGGCGACGCACAAAGAGGTAGCCAGTGCGCAGCTCTTGCATTGAAAATATCCCAGATGTTAGGATGGTGGAAGAAGAGAGTCCTCCAAGGTGTCATGGGATTATAAAAACTTAGGCAAGGGACCAAGTGAAGGTGACATCAATGACGTTATACACTTGCAAGGAAATTTAAACAAAGTGACAGGCACCAAAGCGGTAGAAAATTTGAGTGAAGAGAGTTTTAAGGCTTTGCTGCTGAGACAATAACAAAAATTGTAGAAAGTTAGAAAGTAACCAAAGTCGAGCTTATACACGTAGAAGAGAATAGTGGAGTCTTCATAAGCGAAGTATGATCATGGTAGGCTCTTCATGATCGGAGAGCTCAACGCTCCCACCACGCTTACCCCCTGTTCACACAGAGCTGCGACTTTACGACAACCATTCCGATCAAGTGTAACACAATTGTTATATGATCAGCACTACTGTAGCGATATCGTCGTACAGTCATCTAAGTCTGCGTAGTGTCATAGCGGCAGCGTAGCGTAAACGCAGTAAACGCTCCCACTGGCAACGGTCTGCGTAACGTCATAGTAGAAGTGTGTTAGCAGTGCGTTTGACGTAGGGACATTGTTGTACGATCGTAATGAAAACAATAATGTGCCAAATTGCTCGATTTAGACGCTGATCGGCTCCGATCCATCCTGATACAGATCATGGCTTGATTTGAATGGTCGTCGTAAAGTCGCAGCTCTTTGTGAACGGGGAGTAAGTGTGGCGGGAGCGTTGAGCTCTCAGATCAAGAAGTCCCTACTGAGATCATACTGCGCTTATGAAGACTCTCCCGGGGGGGTGGGGGGGGTGGGGGGGGTGGGGGGGGGGGTTAATTGTGTTTCCGAAAGGCAAATCGCTTTGATGATTTATTAACTGTATCATTTGACGGATTGAGACAAAACATCAAAGGGAAAATAGTATGCTCTCTCTCATTTGCAGTCTTGCAATTAAGTGACGAGAATGAAAATGTGCAAGGAAAGTACTAACTACTATGCATAAATGTCCACTATGTATCCAGTCCAGAGTCCTGAAGATAATTTAGAACAAATTGGCTAAATGCACGACAAATGAATCAAGTGTGACCACCGTGCATATACCTATGATATGAAGAGACATTACAAACGTCTACACCAACCAGGAGAAACCGAAGCAAAACCCATAGAAAGACTATACCACACGATGCGGCACAATACCTATCTTAAATCAGAAGAGAGAAAATCCAGCGATGCACAGCACGGACCGACATCTGTTAGTTTTCAAGCAGGAACTCATATATGCCCACTTACTACTACGAGCAAAGCGTGTCGTAAAATGTGTATGATCATAACAAATTGCAGGAGAAGCGTAATGGAGTCTTCAAAAGCGCAGTATAATCGCGGTAGGGTCGTCATGATCGGAGAGCTCAACGCTCCTGCCATGCTTACCCCCGTTTACATAGAGCTGCGACTTACGACGACCATTCCAATCAAGCCACGATCTGAAAAAAAAAATTCAGATCGAGATGGATCGGAGCAGTTCGGCGTCTAAATCGAGCAATTTGGCACATCGTGGTCTTAATTGCGACCGTACTACAATGTCCTACGACAAACATGCTGCTTACTAGCTTCTGCTACGATGTTATTTAGACCTTTCCCTACCAGCGACGGCGTTTACTGTGTTCATGCTACGCTGCCGCTACGACATATTACAACGCTACGCAGACCTACATGGCTGTTCGACGATATCGCTACGGTGATTTTGATCATATAACGATTGTATTACGCTTTTAGTGCGATTTTGACGATGTAGAATAAATATTTTGGGTTTGCACATATTTTTCACATACTGCAGCCTGATAGTCGTTGAATAATCGGCGTAAGACCATTGTAGATCTTCGGAGGATCGTCAGGAACGTAGAAAAATCGTAATAGGAACGTAGTGGGAGCGTATTAAAAGTGTACTTGATAAGTTCCCGACTTTTCTATATGCTTTTACTGCGCTTTTACTACGATCATGAAGATCCCTCCATGATGCTTCCATGCTGCTTGTACACTAAAAGGGGCTTCTACTACGCTCTTTTTACAACTTCACTCTGATTCTTGTTGGTTATGATCGAAAAGAGCGTACTTGTAGTTGAATAGTCATAATCGTATAAGCAGTGCGGAAGCACCATGGCAAGATCTTCGTGATCGTAGTAATGTAAAAGTGTAAAAACTTGTATCCTCCTACAACGCTCCCACTACGTTCTTATTACGTTCCCACTACGGTCACTCTATGTTCCTGGATAGGAAGTTATACATTGACCAAACGGCCAATCAGGCAGATAGTTTTATAGCGCTGTTATTTGACAAATCATCGTCTCTCAACTAAATCAGCTAACGTCACTGGCTGATTCAGCAAATGACATAGACGTCGTTCCATTTCTTCCCAAACGTGCTCGATCTACGATAAATCGGGAGAAACAGCTGGCCAAGGCAAGACATCGACATGCTGTTGAATGAAAACGTCCCTCCCTACGCGTGCAGCATGTGGTCTTGGGTTGTTTTGCTGAAAATAATGTGATTATGATGTCCCTTTATGAAAGGTATCACATGGCGCTGAATAATTTTGTCTCGATAGCGCACTCCGGTGGGATTTTTATTGACGATTTGAAGAGGGGTCCTTCCACGTGCTGTGATTCCATCAAACACCATAACGCTGCCTACACCGAATAGTCGTCGGTGCACAACATAAGCGTTCTGTTACCGCTCCCCAATGCGAGATACTCTCTACAACGGCCATCACTGCTATCCAAACTAAATCTGGACTCCTTCCATTAAGAGAATATTGGCCCAGTCCTGTAGTCAGAATTGCAAATGTTGACTGCATTATGCTAGTCTAGCGATACGATGACGTTGAGGCAGTATTGGGCGAACATATGGACGTCTTTATCTAATGTTGTGCTCGCGAAGACGATTGTGCACAGTTCTTGGACTGAATTGTCTAGGTCCAGGAATGCTACGAGCAGTCAAACTTGCTGTCTGAAAACGATTTCTCAGGTGCAAGAGTCTAATGTGGTTGTCCTGTCGACGCGACGTCACGCGAGGTCGCCAAGAACGTGGTCGATTTTGAGTGTTACCAGAGTGTTGAAAACGTGTCCATAATGATTGGGTGGTGTTTCGATGAACTCCAATGTGTCGAACAATGATATTTTTTGCTATTCCAGCTTGAAGCATCCCGATAGCAATATTACGTTGGTTTTGGCTGAGTCGTGGTATGACAAAAGGGTAAATTTGGTCAAACACTACAATGTATGATATTGTTACAAAACTCACAGCTATAAATCTATGAGGAAATTTTAAAGTCATTGTATTAACATATTTACAAACTGTATTGTAATATTTAATGGCAATGTGTACCCATGAAACTAATTGTAGTCACGTTAATTTATGTAGTAATTTTACAGTGTGTACAGTGTACACATGTCTGAATGATTACAAGTTATATGGTATAATGAATATTACAGAGGGACACCCAGACTTTGACAGTGACTCAGAGACTTTGTGGAACCTCTATTCTGCTCTCTTTGGGAATTTACCAGGTAATCATTAATCCTTCTTGTTTACTATGTTCATTTAGGTGCCTTATGATAAATAATGTGTCTTTTTGTTTGTCATTTCATCATCCTTCCATCAACACATTTAACTTCTTTCATTTTAATAAATCTTAAAAAATAGAAAAGAAATACAGAGTAGTTAAAGGAATTAAAGGGATGCATGTGAAGATTTTGGATCACTTTATTAAAGGTCAAAAGTCAAAGGTTAAGATAAAGGGTATCAACTGAACACAAGCTCATTCTGACTCTGTCAGTTTTCTTGTTAATATCCTTCTCTGTGTGTTTGCCTCTAAAGTAAGATGTATAAGACTGATTGTATTTCAGATGACATAGCTAACCTTTATGAAGTACAACACACCAGAAGAGAGGCTGTGTCAAAATGGCTGTCCTCCACAGCCAGTGATAAAATCAAAAAGGAGATTCAAGAAGCCAAGTATAGGGTTTGTATCACCTTTAATTCAAGTGCATTGTACCAGATTGTGGTAGCATTTTTAGAGTTTTGTAATCTTTGATTACCTATGATTTCAGTTGTGTACATGTGTATGAAGTTTTGTCTTTCTTGCAGGGAAAGAACCACCTACCAGCTCTTGCTCACCTGACAGGAGGACAGGTAGCAGAAGCCACAGCCATTAACTGCTGTTTGATCAGGACCTCCTTAGGAACAGGAGCTGTCTGTGGTGCTGCCCTGTAAGTTATAGAATTATTGTCAAAACTCAGTATCTTTTACAAGTACATGTAGATAATATGACTGTTTTCTCAATGTAATATCAAAAGAAAAGACTTGTTTATTTGCAAGGACTTACGTGCTTAATGTTGTTGATGCCCCTCCTTGGGGAAACCCAGTCCCTACACCAAAACCTCAAATGTCAATAATGAATAAAGTGAATCACTTTTATCAACAGCCCAACCCATTCTTAATAAATGGACATAGGCACATATACATACATGTACATGTATAATAGAATACAATGTCATTGCATGAGTACACTGTATAAATGTACAAGATATTAATTAGAAAGGTGTTTCACCTGTACTTGTACCAAATCCACTAATCCCTGTGCTGGTACCAAATGGTTTGTTCAGGTTGAAAGCTGAGGTCTGACCCAGATTAAATGTACTGGTGTTTCCAAAAGTTGTGGGCTTAGCTCCAAACACTCCAGTGCTCGTACCTAGAAATACATGTATAATAAAGAACTCTTGTATGGGTTATTATAGATATCATCCCTATCATCCAAATAGAGGAATGCTATATACAGTTAATAACAAGATTTTGAGGCAGATTCTTTTGATGTTATATTAAATTGGATTAAGAGATGTACAAACACTGTAAAAAGTCTTAATGCAATGAAAAATATAACCTGGATATTAATAACTATTTAAACAAAAATCTATTCCAATATAACTGATATCTTGCTGTACCTATACCAGGAGTGGTGCCAAAGGAAAATCCCCCCGAGGTGCCAAAGGTGGAGGGTTGTGAAGTGGTACCAAAGAGACTGGGTCCAGTGGTTGGCTTAGCAAACAAATAACTGCCTGGTGTCCCAAAACCACTAGCAGCAGTGGTAGTAGTTCCAAAAGCTGGTTTGGAGTTGAACAGACTGGTGCCCTGTAAAATAAAACAAATAATATACATGTATTTTTTCAATCAATGATAAATCAATTAAGGTTGATTCTCAAATTAATGCCATTCAGTTTTAAGCCTTTTTCACAATAAGCAATGTTTTTTCAAGATTCTTTTCACCTGATAAATAAAATTCTCTTTATAAAGTCAAAGCTGCATACCCCCATCTCTGACTGTTTTCCAAACATTTACATGTATCTTAGATTATCAGAAAATTAGGCATTTAAAAAAAAAATACCTCTTGCATCTACTTTATTGCCAACACATTGAAAAAAAAGTCTCCCTGTTGCATCTGCTTAGAGAAAATTGGCCTGAGAACCAGATAATTAAATTTATGTAGTCTTAGTTGAAACTTACAGCTGCACTAGTTTGACCAAAGCCTGTGCTGGTTCCCCCAAATCCACCAAATCCTGTACTGGTTCCTCCAAAACCTGAGGCCTGTGTGGACGGGGTGGCTCCAAAGAGAGGCTGGAATAATAAATGTGATGCTCTAAGACCAGTTCACTACACTTTTTACAACACAGTTGAAACAATGTAATTAAAATGTTATGAAATTCCACTAATAATCAGGAAATGACTGCTTACCTTGTTCTGAGTTGGCTGACCAAACAAACTGGAAGTAGATGTAGTGGTTCCAAAGCCAGAGAACCCAGATGTTCCAGTTCCTGTAGCAGTTGAGGCCCCAAAGAGGGGTTTATTCTGTCCAAATAAACTACTGGTTTGTTGCTGTGGTTGCTGTCCAAACAAAGAAGTTCCTGTTGATGCTGGAGTTGGGTTAAAGGCTGCAATTATCAAACATAAAAATATTCTGTTACTTTGTCAGTCTATTTATTCAGGCACAAACTTTGAGAAATAAAAGAAGAAAAATTGTAACATGCATACATCATGAGATATGCATACAGTTAAAATGTGTCAATGCATTGAAAAAAAATTCTTTTTTCCATATGAAATGAGTAGGAAAATATACATAACATTGTATGTATAGTGTATGGGTTTCCTAACCTAAAATATTTCTGATTTCCCAAAGAAAAGTAAAACCACGATGTGCCAGAATACAGATTGCATGTTGAAATGCAGTCATTAGCCTGCTAGATGCTTTCCCGCTTAAAACTTTTCTTAAATCAAGGAATACAGAATACTGTATCTAATGAATGAATTTTCTTGTTTTTGAAGCTGTGTCTAATATGATAAAAGGTATGTGATAACTGAAGCACGATGAGTTGACATGAATGAAAGGCATTCAAATGAACATGTCAACAAACAGCTTTCAGCTACACACCCATGTTTGAGTTCTGTAGTAAAGAGAAGCCACCTGATGCTGACGGAGTCGCAAATGCTGTCGCTGTTTGTTTTCCTTTGCGATTTGCTAGATAATCTTCCACTCGGAGCTCCTCCAGACTTTTGCTTTGATACTCCTTCATGGCTGTGATACACTGGTGTCGGGTATAAATGTTTCGGCTGACCCTATTCTTTAACATTGTGTCTTGGCTTGTTGGGGGGTTGAATTTTAGAGTGGTTCCATTTATGTTTGCTGTCTGACCAAAATCTGTTAAAATGAAGAAAAAATCCTCACTTAAAGAAAGAAAAGACTTGGGGTCTGGGATCCAAATGCTGGTGTGGCACCAAATGTTTTGTTAGCTGCATTTCCAAATGTTGATGTATTTCCTATAAAATCATTCCATGATAATAATTGCTCTGACTTATTTGGGATTCTCATCATTATTTGAGATATCAGTGCACACTTCTAAAATTCTTACCTGCACCAAAAGGGGTTGATGTGGCACCTCCAAATGAAGCTAAAAGAAACCAAAAATAAATAATTTAAATCTTAAAATCCCTATGAACCGCAAAATTCAGACTTTACGAAACGTTTTGTAAAGAATATCTTACCATTTCCTGTTCCAAAGGGCTTTGCACCAAACATTCTTCTTCTTTATTTATTTCTCTGATGTATCTGAAAACAAAAGATAAATCATAATGCTTGTCTCAATTAGGATTTTGTCAATTGTCATACTCACACACCCAGAAGGTGTTTATGTTTCTGCATAAAATAAATTACTAATTGTTGTCTTACGTTCATCAATCAAGACCTTTGAACTCTCCATTTCAATTAAAGATAGGAAGGAAACAGTTTATCATGCATGGTAAAAATTCACCAAAGTGTTTCTTATTGGTTTGATGCACTGTATAAAACCTCATTTGCTTAAGATTGATACTATTTGATAGTCAGGATTATCCTTCATAAAAACATGATATACAGCACGGTTAAATTTTCAAATTGCAATACTTGAAGAGTAACAGCTTGTAGAACAATCGTTCACAGTCAAATACCTTTAAATTTTCCCACTCAATTTGCATGTAAATTCAGTAACTGCTTTTATTGAAACAAAAACAAAATGATTCATCGGAGGTTCACATGCCATTATCATGATTTGATTGTCCATTTCAGAAATAAATTAGAAATAATGTTTTATTTCCTGGGTAATCTGTCTTTATGTATGGTGCCGAATGCTCAAGTTTTCATAATGGGTGCCTCAGAAAGATCTTGAGGATATTTTGGCCAGCAAAAATAACCAGCAAAAATTTGTATGGGGCCTAAAATGAAAATTAGTTTGTTTGTAGTTGCCTACCGCCCCACTGAAAATGTACCGCCCCAATCTTTTTTTTTAGTCATTTTGTAAATTTTTTTTTCTCAATGTCTCAGAATATTGGAACTGTTTCATTTTCAATTTTTGACTTTTGTTTTTATCTATCAGTGGTTTATAACAAGAGTGGATGTTACTCTTGTTTAGTAGGCCTATAAAAACATGGAAAAGCTTTATTATTTGTTATTTATCAAAAATCTGAATTTTATTTTTTAAAAAAGAATGCCTACCTACCAACCCAGTCTGAAAATTATATGTCGGCAACTTCAAACTAAGAATTTTTTAAGCTTGGCCTGAAACAACAGACAAAGGACCTTACTAATAAAATACAGATGGAGGTAGATAGGCCATGTCTTGAGAAAGCCCACAGATGACATCACAAGAGTGGCACTCAGATGGACCCCAGCAGGGAAGAGGAGGAAAGGCTGACCAAAAACAAGGTGGAGGTGAACAGTAAAGAAAGAGCTAAAGGAGATAAACCTTACCTGGGGAGAGGCAGAGAAGATAGCTAAGAACAGAGAGGAGTGGAAATCCCTAGTCCTTGCCTATGTGCCTCCGGGTGCAACAAGGACTAGGTAGGTAGGTAGGTTCTTGAGAAGAAGTTGAAGAAGTTGAAAATGTGAAAAAGTTTACAGATGGATGGACAGACAGACGGACTACGGACAAAATGTGATTAGTAAAGCTCACTTGAGCCTTCGGCTCAGGTGAGCTAAAAAAAACTAGAACTGTCCAAACGGGACAAAATACCCCCCGCTTTTTCAGAAGTAAGTATTTCCATGATAAAGATATGTATCAGAAACGAATTATGAAATTTTTATTCCAGTGACCTTGAACTTCCCCAAATAACCTTGGGTCAAGGTCATGACACACCCATGGGTCATGGGCAATCTTTCAGTGAAATGAGAACCTACCAAGTTTATCCATAAGAAAGATATGGACCGGACACGAATTATGAAATTTTTCTACCAGTGACCTTGAACTTCCCTAAATGACCTTGGGTCAAGGTCATGACACACCCTTGGGTCATGGGCAATCTTTGTGTGAAATGAGAACCTACCAAGTTTATCCATAAGAAAGATATGGACCGGACACGAATTATGAAATTTTTCTACCAGTGACCTTGAACTTCTCCAAATGACCTTGGGTCAAGGTCATGACACACCCTTGGGTCAAGGGCAATCTATGTGTGAAATAAAAAACCTACAAAGTTTATCCATAAGAAAGATATGGACCGCACAGCGATTATAAAAAATTTTCTTCCAGTGACCTTGAACTTTCCCAAATGACCTTGGGTCAAGGTCATGATACATCCTTGAGTCATAGGCAATCTTTGTGTGAAATGAGAACCTACCAATTTTATCTATAAAAGATATGCATCAAACATGATTTATGAAAATTTTCTTCCAGTGACCTTGAACTTTCCCAAATGACCTTGGTTCAAAGTCATGACACACCCTTGGGTCATGGGCAATCTTTGTGTGAAATGAGAACCTACAAAGTTTATCCATAAGAAAGATATGGACCGGACACGAATTATGAAATTTTTCTTCCAGTGACCTTGAACTTCCCCGAATGACCTTGGGTCAAGGTCATGACACACCCTTGGGTCATGGGCAATCTTAGTGTGGAGTAGTAGATTCTAATGTCCCTCTGTAAGAAAGATATGGACCGGACACGATTGCACAGACAGACGGACGGACGGACAGCTAGACAGACAGACAGACGGACAGACGGACAAGGTGATTCCTATATACCCCCCCAAACTTCGTTTGCGGGGGGTATAAAAACTCTGAATCTGATGCGACTTCTGTTGAAATAATGTTAGATAGTTCAATACTTTTCTCGTTTGTCACTTTTCAAAATGTATTTTAGTTTTGAAAAAAAAAAAATCACTTGTCCAGTTGTTCCATCTGGAAAAATCTTGTGAACACTAGTTCATGTTCTCTATTTATAGAACAGGGGAATTCCAAAAAATGTAATTTGTTTTCCATATGTCTCTTGAAATTAAATTAAAGGCCATGAAGATTTTTTCTATGTTAAAAACATTGTGAAAACATTGAAACAATATTTACCCTCTATATTTCATAAATGTTTGATATTTTTGTGTTAAAATGAGAAAACACTTAAGAGTCATTCTCTGTAAGGACCACAGATGCCGTTCAAACGAATACCACAGATTTTAATAAAACATATATGAAAAAATTATGAATGTGTATGAGATTAATTAGGTATATTTAAAATTTTGGGATGTGACCTATCCTCCAGGTTATGGCCCCCTAACACATTTTGTGGCTACCCCCATGTTTGAAAAGGTCAGTTTTCTCCTAATTTGACATAAAAAAGTGAAATTTGAAAGCCACATTTCTTCTCAGTCAAAAGTTGTGACCAAGGTTACAGTTTTTGTAACCGATTGACAGACTAAAATATGAATGAGATTCAATGTGCCCTTAACAAAAGCTGCAGACAACAACTAGTTTGTGTGTACATGCTCTCGAGTAATACCCCCATTCTGATGTGAAAATACCCTCTCATGTTGACTTCAAAATTCTACCAGTTTATGAATTCCAATATATAGCATGCCAAAACAAATTGTGTACCAAAATTTCAGAATCTGTGATGAGTAGTTTCTGGGGAAAGTGTGATAAGATTTTTTAAAAGGGAAGAGGCAAAGATTGCCCTCAGCGAAACACAGACGAACAGGGAGTAAACATAGGATTTGAACAAAATAATTATTAGGCATGCCTAAATTAATTGTATGCTCAAATTTCAATCGCATATGATGATTTGTTTTTAAGAAAACTTTAACAGAAATTTGATGCACAGAGATGCAGAGATAAAAAAGAAGTTGAAATGGGATTTGGAGAGAAATTAATCACAGCATAATATGTGGCATGCCTAAACAAATAATCGGTTAAAATTTCAATCATCTTTAATGAGAATTGCTGTGGAACCTGTGACTTAGGAACCTGTGACTGAAATTTGTAATGGACAGACAGACACACAAGGGTCAAAACAGTAAACTCCCTGTCCTTCAAAGCAGGGGTGTAATATCCCACTGATTGTTTTAGATCTTGTCAGGTGCTAATCTTAAGCTTTGTTTGTGGTTTTCTTTCCACGTCCCTCACCTGAGTAATTTTGGTGTAGTAGTTATTTACCAGATTACCCCTCTTGTTATGCCAGTACTTATTGTGGCCCCTACCTTCCTCTCCTGTTATGATTTTAATACTTTAGAATTTACACTACCCAAGAATGCTTCCACATCACTTTCATTTTCCTAGCATAGTAGTTTTAAAGATTTCTATGTCTTGGATTACCTTACTGTGGAATCACTCAACTACTGGGGTTCATGACTTTAACATCTTAGAATCTACACTACACTTTGATGCTCCAAAATAAGTATCAGTTTTCCTAGCCCAGCGGTTCTTGAGAAAATGATTCTTGGAGTATTTCCCTTTATATTTGTATGTAAAACTTTGAGTAACAGTCATTGATAACATAACAGTGATAACAGTGATCAGTCATTGTGGCTACCCCCCTAACCCCGAGGGTCATGATTTGAACAAAACTGAATCTACACTGCCTGATGATGCTTCCATATAAATATGACAAATTATGCCTTTGCTATTTTTATAAAGAAAATTTTTAAAGAATTTCTGAATTATCTCCCCTTGAATATGGGCGTGGCCCTTTATTTGAACAGCTTGAATCCCCTTTACCCAAGGATACTTTGTGTCAAGTTTGGTTGAAATTGGCCCAGTTGTTTTTGCGAAGAGGTCGAAAAAGTGGAAAGTTTACAGACAGACAGATGGATAGACGTCTGGACAGACAGACGCCAGACAATACGTGATCAGAAAAGCTCACTTGCGCTTTCAGC